AAGTAGGAGTTAGTAAAAGTTACTTGTATATGCCTGAAAACCAGGCAGCCTTAGGTTTTACGTGACAAACTGTTTCAGCAGCTCACTAATTTCTAGCCTGTGTGCTTCAGGGTAATCAGTGCAATTCCCAGGAAATCCATGAAGGTTTTAATGAGCCGTGACATGTTGAGCGCACAGTCAGCGTGAAGCAGTGCAGTGTGAGGAAGCTTTTGGCAAAGGCTGATGCACATAGATCCTGGCTCCTGAGGAGCCAGCTGCTAATCCTGACACTTGCCCAGGGAACTCGAATAGTGAAAGCTCTGTACCACCTCAGTTCTGCTCTTTCTGTGTACAATTATTGTATTCATAATCTACCTCTTTAAATAAATTTGCTAAATGAGTTTCCCATAGTGGCTTGTTTAGGATATTCTGTGTAGGTGTTTCTGCTAGAAGACTTCTGTTCTTGATTAGAGGACAGGGTAATCCCTAATTTTTCCAAGATCCAATTTTTTCATTATCACTGATCTTAAAGGTATATATCCCATGGTTTTCTGGATGTGTGGATCACAACCTTCACTTAGCTGATGCTTCACTTGTAGATGCTCACTCCTGTGATTTTATAGGTAGCATAAAAGCCTGAATCTATTCTTTTGAGTTTTAGAGCTACATTTTTACACTGAACTATCAATAGATATTTAGGAAGTGAAGCTACATGCTGACAAACCATGTCCACAGCAAGCTGGCAGAGTCATCCCAGTGACATCCATAAACAAAATTGGAGAGAGAGAGAGAGGTGATTATTCAGTTGAGCCTAAGGAAATTATGTTCATTTTATGTTTCAGCATCCTAAATAATACTTTTATTAAAAAATAATAAAAACTTTAATACTTTCTTACTGGGAGCTACTTTTTTTTATTTGGTGGTCTAGTGTATTGCATGGCTATGCTCAAATTTTAAAGGAATTATTTTATTTTAATCCATTCTAAAATGTAAAGGCAAGTATCATATTCTTACAAGGTCAAAGACCAAGAAAATTCAGTAAACTAAGTGAAACCAACTCTTTTTCAGTCACCTCTGTAATTCAGAATTGCAGCAATGAGACTCTATAAGCAAAACCAAGAGGGAATGGAAACTCAAGATTTGTAACAGGAAGAATATCTTTTATTAAGTCAACTAATGTAGCTAAAAATAAGAAACAGGCATACTTTTATGTGTACAAACACTCTGGTATGCGCACAGATGAAACTGGATTTTTGTTAAAAACCAATGCGTGTATTAAGATGAAGAGAGAAAAGGGCAGCTACTGCTAGATGGACCTGGATTTTTTAAATGCTTTTTGCTGAAGTGCTCTTAGTATAATGGGTGAAGAGACTTTGAATTTCCGGAATTCTTTCCACTGAAAACTTGCTGAGTAGTAGCTAGATATTTTGGAGAAATGAGTGCTGGGGAATGATGTACTGAGCACTGTGATGGAAGTAGCCCAGCAACATGATGCAGTGGCTTTCAAGAGGTTCCTCCCTTCCTTCCCCCCCCCCCTTAAACCACACACAAAAACACATCCTAGGTGGTCGAGGAGGCATTGCCTAGAAGTACAAAGTGCCTGAATTGCACATGTGATTGTTACACTGGGATGAAAGCTGAAGTTGGGACAAGGGCAGATCCTGCTGCTTCAGTATTTGTACTTTTTGAAAAGCCAATTTGGCAAGCAGCATAACAAGAGCCTAACAAGTGGATGGACATATGGGAAGGCAAAATAATTGTGCATTAGGAAGACTGTGCAGATGTGAGCTGAAGTAAGGGCGTAACTCCATATGGCACATTGCTGACCTTCAGTTGGAGCTTGAATGACAGTACGCGGTGTGGGTCGCACCATCTGAGCGATGCTGCATCGGGAGCGGGGCCGAAACCAGACAGAACTGGATTTACACGGATCATCTGCCTCCTGGAAAACAATACAGCGGCTACCGACAGCTGTTGTGCCTGAGATCATCCTGGTACTGCTGCACCTTGCAACTCTGACACCTTCCCTGACACACTAAGTGTATACCATGCTTCTGGAAAAAATATACTATTTCCACTACTAAACTGGGATGGCTCTTAATCCCTGTTAATACTCTGTGCAGGAAGAGCAGAGATAAGTGTGCAGGATACTTCATTTCTGTCCTTGTTCTCCAGGGTTTAAAAGCCTTTATATGCCTTCGGAGAGGAAATGACTTAATTCTTTCAAACAGAAAATATTAAAAATCCTGTGGTTAGCATGTTTATTTGAGAAACATCATGGATCTTTTTATAAACTAACCCCAGAGGGATGCATGTGTTAGGTAGAATAGCAGTGGCCCTCTGTTATTAGGAAACTGTGATATGTGGAGGGCTTCTTCAACCTAGAAATCCTTTGATGAAATACACTTGATAAGTCCAAACTATCACTTATGATTTAATATCATTTGTTCTTCCCTTTCCCTTTCAGCTGTTAATCCTAACGCTGGCTAAGAGTTCAGCCTCATTTTATCAATGGCTGCTTGAAGTGCTCAGGAGGATTTGCTCCAGTATTCACCAGAAGTCTTTGATATATGAGATTGTAGGCTAACACCGATAATCTTTTGTGAGGAAGTGTCACAATACATACATCGATCTTCCAAGCCTCTATCTGTCAGACTCCCCCAACCCAACCGTATTTTTCCTGACACAATGCAGTGCATGGCCTTTAAATTACCCATCTGTCTGACAAATCAGTGAGTGTGGCAGAAACTGGCAGCAGTTTGACGTCGCCTATCACTTTAACTGAAGTGAAAGTAATGCAAACAGATTTATGGGATCCCCTTTGATTATAGACTATGAATATATTTGGAATTGATGTTTGGGAGAGAGACACAACAGAGAAGCAGGAAAGGCTTGTAGGCAAAAGCACTGGTGTTGGGTTTCAGCTTTGCATTTACTGTGAGGGAGATTGTTCTGTCCTAAATTTTTTCCTTCCCCATATGGTGCATCTCATATGAGTACCTCTGACCTTTTTTTTCTTTTTTTTTACTTTTGTCCTGATTCTTTAGCTGTTCTAAATTCATAAGTTTATAAATAACAAGGCTGAGTTTCCTTTAATGAATCTGATGTACAACTGTTAAATATATATGTAACATTCATTTCATGTCAGTAAATAGTGCTGAATTTCCAAATGTGCTCTGAATAGAGTTAAGCACAGCAGGAGACAAATAGCTAAGAAGAAGGGCTGCTTACTGCAATGCTGGTGAGAACTTGAGTTCTGTGATGGAGTGGAGCAAAGCATTGACTTGGATTTTTTTGATCCAGTAGTTTATCTTTGTTGCAGAAGTAACCAAGACCTTGGCTTTTGTCATTTGCCTCCGTGAAAAGACTCTGGCCCCAGTATAGTATTGCCTAGTTCATGACCAAAGTCTGCTGTAACAAGCCTGGATTTTTGGAAAGGCAATTTTATTCTACTCATGATGCTGTTGTTTAAGTGTAGTGGTGAATTGTGATGCTGAAAGCTGGGACAGAGAACTACTGAGTATGTCTCATGTGCAAGCAACAACATGCCCATTCAAACAACTCATGTTGGCAGCTGAGCTCTTGAATCCCCGAGCCATTCAGTCCAACTAAGTGGTAGGGTGGTACCCTTTGGGTATTAGTACATTTGTTGAGTCATTTTCTGAGCTCTCTGGAGCTTACACAAGCTTCTATTGAAATGCTGCTTGCCTTCCTTCAGAGAAGCCATAGACTTGAGTGATTCCCTTCTTTTTAAAGAAATAGTTTTCATGAATAAAGGTGCAGGCATTGGAAGTCACTTAAAGAACGGATAGTTGTGGTGCTGCTGTGATGGTTTTTGCCTGGTTTCCTGGGGAAATTGTGATTTGTGGGTTTGCCACAGAAACTCAGCCTATTCCCTAAACACCTTCAGAGTTTTGTCATGCCAGACAGCACTGAGCCAAGAGCAATTTGTCACTGGTGTGGGTTCTTGTATTCCTGTTATCACAGCCATCGGTAGCTGGGGGGAATTGTGATCTACAGCTGCTTAGCTTTGAGATAAGTTTTCTATGTTTGGAGTCCTTCTCCTGAATCTGCTTGGGGGATGTTGGCATAACCTTTAGCTGAATTTAGTTTGTGGATTCTAGCGTGCAACCTACCTGAGGTGTCTGATTGAGGTTGCCATGTAGGTTTTGAATTACTCAGGAGCCTCTGGCTGCTCCCCACAGGAAAGGCTAGGTGGTCTTTGGGGTCTGTCTGTCTCTCTTCCTGTCTGGAGCTTGGTTAGTGGGAACCTATGCAAAGTTTTATTTTGGCTAAAGGAAACCCTGAAATATTTGCATTTAGCCTCTAGTTGACTAGGACATCCCCAGTGCTTGCATTTTTTTCAAACCCAAGCTACTCCTGTTTTAAAATTTCAATCTGCAGGTCCTGCATCCCACATCCATTCTGAAAACACATTCATTAGAGAGCTCTCTGTGCAAATCCCACACCTTGTTGGTGTTTCTGAGGGAAGCCACATCTACATTGGAGCACAGAAAACAGATGTACTATCCCAGTGTAATGTTCAAAGCATGGATACCAACCAGGCTTGGATCACTCTGAAAATGAAAGCTACAGATTATGTCTCTGCTAATGTTGTTCCTCTGGTATAATCCTGTATGAGTTTTTTTCAAGCACAGCTTTGTCAGTCAGGGATCCCACTAAGGCAAGCATGACTTTGGTGGAGCTGTCACTTTGGGCATGTTCTTCATAGCTTTAGTAGCGGAGCAGAGAGCACATGTGAGCCAAGTCATGCTGTGGTCCCTTTTGGTTTAAGCCAGTCCTGGGCTGTTCCCTGTAGGCAGGAACTCTGAAATTCAAGGAAAGCATTGGTTTCTAGTGCTGAGCTTTAGTACAGCATGGTTTAAATGTCATGCCTAGGACCCAGTGAATAATACTGGATGAAGTGCAGCCTGGCCCCTCTGCTTATAGTCCCTTTGAGTATCTGCTGATGAGTCAAAATATCTTCTTTTTACAAATAACGAATTTTTCTTTACCTCTAGGGAAGATGCATAAACTTCACTCGTGTGAAATCGGATGGAACCTCTGCCCCTTACAGCCCGCCACCGAAGCTGCCACGACGTGACAATATTCCCCTCAACAATGCTCCAAGGATTTCTTCTTCTCCTGTGTCTCTGCAACCCCCTTCCAGGCAGCCACCTCCTGGACCACCTCCATCCCGAGCCCCTCCTGGACCTCCTCCTTCACGCCCACCCCCGCAGCCTATGGCTTAGAGGGCAGCAAAACCCTGATCGACACAACATGTCTCTTTGCTGAACACAGCATATTTATTGAGTATTGGTTTACAGTTAAAGATATCAGAATTTGTTGCTGGTCAGCAAAAAAAGAAGGGAAAAAAAAAGAAAAATAGCTAAGTGTCAATTTTAGTATATGACTATATTTATACCACACGTGCTGAGTAAACATTCAGTGGATAGATTCAGAGCTATGGGATATAGAAACAAATAAAAATGATCATCTAGATACAGTAGAGCTTTTGTATGTATACATTTGAAAATCTATTTTGATACGACATTTGTCTGACTTGGTATGTCAGATCATTCATTAATAACTTTAGCCAGTATACGTGCATCAGTGGTTTTGATAGCTGCCACCTGCAGATTGGTTAAACATAGCTCATTGAGGAATTTGCTTTCTTTTCCCTAACAGTACTGCATCCAGATGTTAGTATGGATCAATAATTGCAAAGATAACTTTCTGCCTTTGGTTCTGCAGGTGGAATTTCTATGAAAGTTATAAGAAGCCTATATAAATAATGAGGTAAAATGAGACTATGTGCCAATAATCTAGCTCAGTAATCTAGCATATAAGCGAAATACATTTTTTTCACCTGGAAAAATCAGTTTTGAGCCTACCATCTCAGCATATGTTTAGACTTGGTTGCATAGGATAACCACTGAAGGCCAGCTACTGTGTCTAAAAATCCAAACGTTGGACAAGACTTCAGTTCATATTTGTCCAAAGTTCAGAGGAATTTTGAGAAAAGCATTTTGGCTAGGTGTTTAGTTTTCATTTACAGAAAATATAGTCCAACATGGAGCAAACATACATTCAATTTGAGCATAGATGCTGTAATATGCAAACAGCGTGTGTTACTTACATCAGTAGCACTGAGGGATTGATTCTGTTGTTATTTAATTAGATAAATTTTCTTTTGATCTTACTGCCAAGCAGAACTAGATCCTTTTGTGATTCAAACATAAATTCCTCTATAAGCAGCTCTTTCTTTAGACAGCCCAGGTCCCAATAATATGTAACCTTGCAGTCTACCTGTGGTTGAGAGGCATGATGTGAAGTGTGAGTTTGAGCTTTTATCCCTGTTTCATATGTTTGGCTAGAGGATTTCCCAAACATTGTGGCTGTTCATCCATGACCTCAATTCTGGGTGTCATCAGAAAGAGATGTGAGCACCCACACAGAGGTGGGAATTTATGACGCGGGACTGTGGGTCAGCCCATGATTAGTGTTCACTGAGCAATACCTGAGTGGGCTGTGCCCAGAGCATTCCCTAGTGAATCAAAATAACACCTGAGCTTGCTTTTTCTCCACTACTACCTATCATATTGTATTGGAGAGGGTAACTGCAAATCCCTGTGCTGGTTCGCTTTGGCACTGGCTGTGTTAATTAGGATAGTTGTAGAATTAATGATATGTTGCATTATAACACAGCATATATCTATTTCTCCATCTGTGTGTGGGTGTGTAGCACATCACAGTAGTTATTGGCACATAAGTCTAAGATAAAACACTAACTGTATCATGGAATTGGTCCAGATTTATGACCTTTTCATGCAGGTGCTATAGGCATATAAAGTTGTACTGGTACAAACAGAAATCAGGCTTAGTCTTTCCAGTGGAAGTCCCACTTGCAGAACATCACACCAAGCTCTCATCAGTCTATGCTAATCACTGTGACATGCCGTGTGTATGCAACTGAGGCTGTCAGATGTAAACTCAGAAGAACCACAGAGCCTCTTTCTCCTCTTGCACTGCTCTGCTCTCTTGAGTTATGCTCTTACCTCATGTGTATTGGTGCAGGTAGTGGAATTACAGTCGTGGGTGCTAGCTGCCCCTGGAGCTGTTCCTAATTTAGGCCTGAGCCAGCAAAGCACTTCTGCATGTTTTAAAATGTCCTGCAGGTCAAGAGAAACTTCCTTATGCTCAAGTGCTTTGCTGACCTGTGACTTCATTGTGATCATAAAGGAGAATTGGGATGCACTCAACCCTATCCTCATTCTTTTTAGACACTTGAATAAGTCTGCATATTTTGGTTCCTAAGAATGGATTTCTGTTTGGAAGAGAAAAAAGAGTGTGTGTATGTGTGTGCGTGTGTCTGTGTTTGTGTGTGGGAACTGTGTAGGTTTTTGTTGGGTTTCTCTTCCTTTACAAAAATTGCTCGAGAGTGGCACTGCTATGAATATAAAGACCTTTTGCAGCCAATGTGATACAAAGACATCGCTTATCTCTGTTTCTTTCCGGTGAAAGGTGAAACTAAAACAGATCCAGTTTTCCACTGCAGTTCTGGTGAAGCTCTGCTTCTGACACCAGTGAAAGGAACTGGATGACTGCAGGGAGAGGGTAGGAACCTGGATGTGGGGGAAGGTGCTTTACAAGCAGAGATCATTGACTGACTTTATGTTGGTTATACGGAAGCCTTTGGGAAATAACCTTGCTCAGTCTAAGACTATTTGTAATAATGTGTATGCACAGCTGAACCCAGCAGCTTCTTATATTGGTTGTAGAAGAAAAATTACCCAACAAATTTAATCAGGAATTGAAATAGCAGAGGGCAATAAAACTGATTCTTGTGCCAGGACAAAACATGGCATTAGAGTTCTAGCTGCTTGTGGGAAGACCACAGAAGACCACTGTTCTGTAGACACCAAGTCTCTTTATCAGCAGGCAGCGATGAGATTAACTGATGGGTCAAGAGTTTAGCTAATGAAAAAGGCCATGAGCCAGACTTTGTATTGTCGTGCACCCCTACAGATCTTGGAAAGGTTGAGCAGAGTTGTTGCAGATTTGCATTGATGTTAATGTTGGTAAAATTTGACTCACTACCAGTAACAGTGGAGGTGTTGGCTAAGAGAGAGCTTCTCACAGTCATATGTCCAACATGCCTGTTGTTTGCAGTTGAGGGGAATATTCTTTTTTGTTTTGCTGGGATCATAGTCTTGCAGAGATAACAGATACTAACGATTGCTGCGTAACTTGCAAGTGCAGCAAGAATAGGAACAGCTTGGGCTTCCAGGTGATCAGATGTGATAAAGCAGGAAGCACCATGGATTTGAAAATTAGATTCAGCATAAATGGAGTTCCCTGCATGAATATGTAGAAAACTAAGCATTTGGTGTGTAACTTAAGTTTTGGCTGCAGCTTCTGTGACGGGAGCCCTGCAGGTTTAGTTTGCTGGTAAAGCAGGAAGAAGAGAAAGTGAACACAAACTGAATTGCCTTTGCAAAGGTGGGGGAAATGAATGTGCTGCAGTGGCTACAGAAAAGCCTTTTGGTTGTGTAGAAATGTAGCTGTTTGCAGTGACCTCAGGCATTGTAACAATGCAGTAGGAGAAACTGGTTGCTATTTTACTGTCTGTTGATCTTGATCTTTACCTGGTATAAATCAAAATAGGCCAACTGAAATCAAGGCAGGAATACTGCTGTCTATCAGCTGAGAACTGTCGCAAAATAAATGAAGGAGCAAAATCCCTCTAACTGGCTCCATGTTGCAATGTTTGTTTTGGTATTCTTGTATGTCAGTTGTGATTACAGTACTTACATTGCTAAGAAATGTTCTCGTGGTGGATGATTCCCTTGTATTTTCCAGTAGTTTGGAAATCCATGATTTGACGCTTGCAAAAAGCGAGTATCTAATGTTTCCCCAAATCCAAGAGAACAATGTGGATTCAGGGGATCTTTGGCTCACACTTAGCACAGATGTGAAATGACACAAGGTGCAAAGCAGCAGGGAGGGAAACCCTGTGTGTTTAAAGATGATACAGAACCACATTGATCAAAGCATATTTATGGCCATCTTTCAACCTCAGTGCATGTGTTGCCATCTGTGAGAGTAACCTGCAGAGCAGACGGTCCTAAATGTAAAAAAGAAAAAAAAGAAAGGAAAAGAATCAGCTCCTCATCTGAAAGAGTGAGCATAACAATGAATGACATTATTTCATGAACTGTACCAGTTCAAATGCATGTGCACCTGGTGCTCCTAATGCTTTTCACTCCTGTTGGTCTTTAGACAACATGATCAGTAATATGCTTTCTCTCTTTAATTGTATGCTGTTTTTATTGTTATTACTTTGTTTTGTTGTGTTGTTGTTTGTTTTTTTAAAGAAACATTTCACTGAGAAAACAGCCCTACTTCTGTAAATATAGAGTTTAATTTGGAGGAGACAGCACACTTCTGGATGTTACTGCTGGACAGTTATTTATTAAAAGGGGCTCAAGGTGAATAAATAGAGGTGGCTCAGGATACACGCATGCAAGTGTGATAATGCAGTATAGCATTTTCAGTTCTCTGTAGTTTTGGGGTAAGGGGAATTTTTGGGTCATCCTAGTTTGTTTAGAATTTTGTTACTGATATACTTTTGAATAATGCAATAGAGATTCCTAACATATAACAGTGTAGATTATGATAGATTTTTCATTTAGGAGGAAAAAGGGGGAGTAGTGAAGGAGAAATGTTTTAGTTTTTAAGGGGGGAAAATATACTGTACTCAATTGTTTGTTTGTTTGTTTTGTTTTTGTTTAGAAAGATGTGTGTTTTCAAAACAGTGGAGATGTGGCTGATACACAGCTGGGGCATGGAGATGAGGGCCAGAGGGAGCAGTTGGATTTTTGAGGGACAAAGAAGCTTTACATGGGGGTATGGGTTTGTTACTGGTACACGTGCTACAAAGTTCTGTAACTGACATGCTGCTTCCATGTTATAATCATATAACCTTTATGCATTTTAGGCATGTGCTCCATTTTTCTGAGAAAACCTTGCAAATGTAATGCCTGCATGAAAATGTGGGAGATGTAGCCAAAGTCTTATAATCCAACATAATGTAGTCTTAATGAATTCAAAATCAACAATAAAAGTGCTTACTGGTTAAACACTACAGAGAATTTCATTGCAGGGTTATTTTAAGAGGTGATAAGCTTGTCTGTCATGGCTAGGCTTTGCGAATGAAGATGTGGGTAGCTTGTCTGTACTGACTTTCTAATCAGCTCAACCATCAGTCAGGAGAAGAATGTGAAGTTGGGCAGTCAGAATTCCCATTCCCAACTTGCTACTGATTCATTATTTAACTAGAGACAAGGGTATGTTCTGTGCCTCAGTTTCATGTTTCTGGCCTGAGAATTCCAATCTTTGCCTAATTCAAAGGTAAACCACTGTTTTTTTGAAACGGTAGACATGCTGAGTAAATTGGGCTGGAGTCTGGGCTCAACATTCATTTAGACATGGGGCAGGGTCTGAACTCATTGCTGATATCTTGAGGTCAGCCAACACATAGAAACAAAGTAAAAGACATGCAAGATGCTAGAGCTCAAGATTTTAACAAAGAGAAATTCCATGGCAAAACCTACACTTCTGAAAACACTGAGGGCACCGGGCTTCAGATCAAACTACTGATTTTCAGGAGTCCTCTCAGAAGGACACAGGACTGGATCATAAGACCCCTTCTCCCTCACTGTCCTTGACTGTGTTTTTTTTCTCTCCCTGCTTCTACTCCTTCCTCTGTATCTGTTCAAGCCCCATGGAGGATGGGGAGGGGGCACTGATGGAAACATCAGACAGGCAAGAAGGTCAAGGAGGTAGGCCACAAAAATCTCCAACCCCAGTAGGCAGGCTGCAATTATGGGTAATCAAGGCTGCTGCAAAGCTGCTGAGCTCTGCTATGCACTCAATCTGCCGAGCATGCCAGCCACAGCCCTGTGTGCAAGGGAAAGGAAGCTTGTCCTTGCACGCACGCAATTCCCTGAGCACATGTGAGCTTCTTCTGCAAAAAGCAGTGAACACGGATTTTTGGGGGTCTGGTAGCCACATGAACTCATCGTGGCAAAGCAGGTGGGACCTGCGTGGTGGCTGAGCCAAGCATCCCCTTCCCTCTTGGCAGCTCCAACTGGCTGTGCTATTAATGGGAACCAAAATCCTTGGCCCGGAGCCATGCTACTCCCTCATGAAGTCAGGGGTTCTGACAAAAAGCCCAGCTTGCTCTCACTCTGCTCAAGCTGGCAAGACAATAGTCATCCAGTATGGTTTTGTGGCCTTTGCTCTTTTTTGTTCTTCCCTCTGCTTCTTACTCAAAAAGCAGGCTCAGGCTCTTGGAAGAGATCAGATAAACAAAAGCAGTCCTGGAGCCAAAGCTCTGGGCACTTTTATTCTGCATTAACAAAAACCCAACACTGGCTGCAGCTGTGGCTGGTTAGGTTTATGCATGTCTGAGACAACAAAATTCAGATTTGACCTGAACTTTCCCAGAGACTGGAATGTGCAGATCCAGGTCTTTGGTTATAGACTTGTCTATAAATAGCTTCTAGTGCTGATTTAGAATCTTTCATCAAATGTACTTCACAGTCTCAGGAGTGATATTTACATGTTCACATATGCCAAAGTACCCTATTTGGCTGCATGGAAGTCAGCAACGAGAATTTTATTGGCTTCAGCAACCTGAGCCAGGAACTGAAAAAATGTTCTTTCCCCCTATCCTCCCATTCCTTAAGAAACCACAGGCAGAGCATGTTGCCCATGCTGGAAGTTGTCTGATCTTTACTCTGTGAAGATCAGCCTTTGGAATAGGACTCATCTGAAGTTTCATCTGTTTCTGCAACAAATTCCCCCTCTCCCTGCACATTGAGGACCCTCCTTTTCACTGCAAGGAAGGTTGCACTGGAGTTTCCTAGCCAGGTATTACTCTGATTTCTGACTGCAGCACAGGAAAACTGTGAGACTATTAATGAGATGAACAAGTTCCCTGAAAGAAAGGCTTCCTCCTGGAAGATTTTCCCTGCAACATAGATTGAGAAATGTTTTCTTTTAAGCTTCCAGAGATGCAGGATTGCATGGGTAAATACTTCGCTGAAGGTCCTTAGATAAGTCCATCTGTGTCTCAGCCACGGAGTCCACTCACTGAAGTGAGCTCTCCTCACACCAGCCTATCATTGCCATGTAGTAGCTGAGTTGCCCTTTGTCCATGCTGGTGTCCATGCATCTTCCTGATTCTGGGGCACAGACCGTCTGTTTTTTGTGATAGAAATAGGGGCCGTGCAGAAATGTCCTAGGTCCCATGACCCAGAACACCTCACATTGGATGTATACACTTTTCTCTGATGGCAGAGGCATATGGATTTAGAGCACGAGTTTTCCCAGAGAACACAGGAACATAGCTGTCAAGACATAGCCACATGTAATAAACACCCATGTGTTTGCCACAGGTTACTACATACAGCAACTCTTTCTTTACTGATCGTGCCTCGTGCATTGTTAGGGTAAAATACTAAGTGCCCTCTAATGTTTTCTAGTCTCCATTTTTCAGTACATAGCAAGATGTTTTGAGCTAGAAGCAAGAGCCCCAAGATTCCCCTTCATCATCAAAGTCATATTTGGCCAACCAAAGCCAAGGAGAAAATATGGCAGGCATATGTGGCAGCTCATTCCCTTCAAAAACACAACTGTTGATGCTTTGTGCCTCTCTTTTCTTATGCATCAGGAATAGCTTAGCTAGCAGTGAATGTGCCTAGAGGTAGGGGTTGGTCCTGGTTCAGCTTTGGGGTTTTTTCCTCCTATTTTTTAATGGATTTCTGTGTAACGTATGTTGGGATCCTCAGTGATACAGGGATTCCAACACATCAGTGAGGCTGTTGGTTCCAGCTGGGAAATGCCAAAATGTCCTCCACAGACATAGGTGCCTTCAGAAGGTAGTTAATAAGCCTTGCAAGCCATCATCATGATGACAGTAGACTTTGGTTTACCATAGTTCACCAGGAGTCTCCTGCTCCAGGAATGCATACAGCCTCTCTCTGAGGCACCATGAGTGACAGCCCATCTACCAGGACAGTCATAGAGATCCTGCTGGGGTTTGTCTCTGCCCAAGCTAGTGGGTGTGGCCAGGGACTACTCATGCCTTGAAGTACTTATCCTTCTCTAGGGAAAAAAGTGGGCAGGGAGAAACTGTAACTCTCTGCAGGCTCTGGAGTTCTCCAGCTCTCGGTCTATTTTTGCCAATACTAATGGTTTGCATTGCTGAAGTGAGTCACAAGTCAAAGTATGAAATAGCTCATTTCCCTCCCAGCCATATGCAGGAGCAAAGGAGCAGGTCTGCCTCTAACCCAGGCCAGCTGGACCCAGCACAGTCCTGGGAAGAGCAGGCAGGATGCTTCCCAGGTGGCCTCAGGCAGCGTCTCTGCCATGGTCTCCTGGAAGTTTATCCGGAGGATATGTTTTTTGCATTCCTCATGAATCATGTTGTTCTCCTTTTCCGGAGTCACGCACAGGTGGCAGTTGTCTGCTTCCTGTGGGTCTGAATTGCAGTCTGCTGGTGCCAAGAGGGGCTCTGAGGGGTTGATGGAGCACCTCTGCATTCACCAACTCTGCACAGTTATATTTGTGGGATGGCACAGCCAGCACCAAGCCTTTTCTTCCCTCCTGTGAGGCTAGTGCAGGCAAATCAGGTTATGGCTGTTTCTCTGCCCTCCATTTTGTGCCTCAGTTTCCCTTGCTGTAAGGACAGATCCCAGCTCTGGCTCTTTGAGCATTACAGCTCTGGACTCCAGGCCAAGCAGTTTCAGCAATTGTAGCTGTGGTGGCTCCTCTCACACTTAGCAGCTGCCAGCTTTTCTCTCTGGATACCTTTGCAGCTCTGCCTGGGGCAGAGAGAAGAGGCTGGAGAAGCTCTTATTGCTGGCCATCCACATGACTCATGTCTGGCATTCCAGTATTTTTGGTAGTTCAGGAGCAGCCCCAACTCAAGAGCAGGAAATAAGCATAAAAATAGCCTGTCGATGCGTTTGCAGCCAAGCAAAGTGCATGATGTCTCTCTGCCAGCATCTGGCCCCAGCAGCCCCTTTCCTAACCAGCTTCGGGAGAGCTGCACGCAGGGGATGAGCTGTGAGAAAGCTCTTGTCTCTGCAAGTCTCTTGGTGCTCAAGCAGCAGGCTGAGGTCAGATGTCACCCCCGAAGCCTTTGGAATTGTTATTGTAGGGTTTGTCCAGTGAGGGCTGACAGAGCCTTTTGCAGCATGGATGCTGTGAGACCCACAAAGATGCTGCTAGAAGATGCTACTTGGCATGGCTGTCACTTCTGGAAGGGAAGCCACTGCACACAGGTGCTGGGACGTTATGGCATATGGCCCCACCCCAGAGGGGCCATTTGGGGTGGCATCCTGGCAGCACTCAGGCTCTGTTAAGGGCAGTGCTGGTCTGGGGCAAAGGAGGGAGGCAGCAGCCATGGTGGTGGGGACCGCTGTAGGGCAGGACTCAGCAGTCTGTGTCCCACAGTGGAGCAGCCCACTTGGACTTCGCCAGAGCAGAGTGGGAAATCAGCCAGAACAGACTGGGAAACAGGCATTGCTTTAAAACAATAACAAAAAAACCTGTTTCAAGCTGGTTTTGCTGTGGAAATCTTGCATAAACTGGCAGTTACACTTCCAGCAACAGCCTCTTCTACAGCCCACAAAGTGTAAGTGCTGTCCTGGTGCCCTCTGTTCATCTGTGCTCTCTGGACCGTCTCACTTTCTGAGCTGTTGCAAAGTCCACATGCTTGGCTGGAACTTGCGCAGTTACTGAGCAGGGGGAAAATCCATACTTACCCTGGTAGATCAGGATGCTTTTGTCCACAGTGCTGCCAGTAATCTTAGAAGGGAGTGTATGCAGATGCATATCTATGTGATCGAACTGCTTCCCCAAGACAGACACAGGCACACACTCAGGAGAGAGAACCATCTTCTGATAGAAATGGGAACTGGAAATGGGAATTGTGAAACTCTTCTGGGATAAGAGTTTTCATTTGTTTCCCAGTTACCATTGACTTGGGAAGCAAAGGGGTACTTTTGCTGCCTGTATAGGAATTGCTCAAGTCTCTGCTGAGATTCTCAGAAACTCACAGGACCATAATCAGAC